GGTAGAGCAACGACCACACTGCGCAAACATGGTTCCTCGGAGACCCGCGCGGATTTCGTGGATTGACGCTTGGCCCCCTCCCTGGCGCACGGAGCACGCCAGGGGCGGCGCCGGAGGCGCAGCCAGGGAGGTCCAGCTCCGATCCAAGAAATCCGCGCGCGGAAGGAGGCGGGAGGAGGAACAGGACGAGGAGGGAGGGAGGAGAAGGGAGGCAAAGCCACGAGCGAGAGGAGAAGGCGGGATGGAGGGAGGGAGAGGAGGGAGGACAAGAGAGGAGGAGGAGGAGGAGGAGGAGGAGGAGGAGGAGGAGGAGGAGGAGGAGGAGGAGGAGGAGGAGGAGGAGGAAGAGGACGAGGAGGAGGAGGAGGAGGACGACGACGACGGCGACGACGAGGGAGGAGGACGTGTCACACCACCAACCGTCCCAGGGCTCTGGGCCCGGGTGCACATCCTCCTGGCCTCGCCCCGGAGGGCCGGTGCACCGCCCTCCCTGGGGGAAGCCCGGGGAGGTCCGCGCTCCGCGCGGAGCGCGCCACAGGGGCCGCGCGGGAGGCGCGGCCAGGTGGCTCCAGCGCAGATCCAAGGAAATCGCACGGCCGTCTACAGTCTTATGTTTGCGCCGTGTCCTATTATTATTATTATTATTATTATTATTATTATTAGTATTATTAGCATTATTATTATTAGTATTATTATTATTAGTATTATTATTATTAATATTAGTATTATTCCTCCTCCTCCTTCTCCTCCTCCTCCTCTTCTTCCATTTCTTATTCCTCCTCTTCTTCTTCTTCTTTTTCATCTTCTTCGACGGCGGAGACTTGCCATCGCTCGGACGTCCATTCCCAGTGCATTCTTCGGTTTCGTGTGTGCTTTTGGGCTCGATGGTCAAAGATGCTCCTCGATGGTCCTCGCCGAGGAAATAAAGCGCACGTCCGAGCGATGCCGAGGGGATCAAAGATGAGGGGGCAAGCAAGGAGATAGTTACCCGTAACCACCGCCCGGGGGAACGTTCTTCGGAGACCTCGGCAGGCGGTGGACAGAGGCACAGTTGACCCCACCCCACCCCGGGGCTCGGCTATATCCATGATCGCTGCCTGCCAGAGTCCCCGACGATGGATCCTCCAGGCGATGGTGGTACAGTCAAACGTGTAATAAGGACGGTGGTAAGGACGCAAGACCCTCGGAGGCCGAGGTTAGAATTTTGTGGGCGGCAGGCGACCAGTGACAACGGCAAAGGACGGGCCGCAGAGGCAAGGACACGAGGGTACCCTAGATGAAGGCGCGCGTCCTTACTGGGCGCGTTGACTGTAGGTACGGGAGGGCGGAGTGGAAGAGAAAGGGGGGGAAGTCAGAGTCAGAGTAAGAGTCAGACGCAGCAGCAGCAGCAGGAGGCGGATGGGGAACACCAGCATCACATCGGCTCCACTGGTCCCTTCTTTCCTTCTCCTCCATGAGAGGGACTGAGGGGAAACGTTGTGCGAGGCGGAGAATTTTCCATCACCGCCGCATGGGGGATCGATCTCGGCGACGTCGGCCGGCATTGATATGCACACTTGTCCCCACAGAGCCCGAATATATCCATACCCACCGCCTGCCGAGGTCCGCGAATATCGGTCCCCCAGGTGGCGGTGATAGATAAATCCACGCCTCGGACAAGTTTAGTGCTTGCCTGGGCCCCAGATGTCCGTGTCCGAGAAGAGCTTCTGCTTCAAGATGAAGACCCGATGAATCAGGTAGGCGATCCCCAGGATGCCCACTACGGTAGCGGGGACCAAGAACGCGTACTCGTGTACTATTCCATGCGCAGAAGATCCTATGATCAGCCAGCTCCCTTGCGGGGCCTCCAAGGCGCCCCAGTCATCCAATGCTTTTTGACTTCCAAACTCTTGGGCTCAAGATGGTCCCAAGACGGCTCCGGAAGAAGGGCCCCGAGGACTCCCCAGAGGGCCCCACGATGGTCCTGAGACGGCCAAGGACGGCCAGGGATGGAGAGGGATGGAGAGGGATGAGGAGGGAGGAGGAGGAGGAGGAGGAGGAGGAGCAGGAGGAGGAGGAGGAGGAGGAGGAGGAGGAGGAGGAGGAGGAGGAGGAGGAGGAGGAGGACGTCCCGCCCGAGAAGGGCCCAGGGAGTGCACCTGCAAGGGCCCAGGTTCGGGTTCCCAGGACCGCACGGCGACAGACAGCGCGGCGACCTCGGAACCCCCCCAGACCCCACCGCACGGCCCGTCACCGCACGGTGTGGGGACCTCGGAGGCCCCCGCCGCCCGAGGCGCCCTCGGGCCACGGCCCGCGTCCCAACACGGCGCCGTGCCCCCGCATCCCCACCGACTCACCACACCAGCCGCCGCACCGGCTGGAGGCCCCCCAGGCCACGACGGCGAGGCCGCGGCCCCGAGACGACCCCGAGGCGCAGCCCCAGGGCCCCCACGGCACGTTCCGCCCCGAGGCGGCCCCCGAGGAGGGCACCGGGGGCCCGCCGGGACGCCCCACGAGATGCCCAGCAGAGCTCCCGGGACGGCCCAGGCAGGTCGCCGAGAGTGCGAAGGAGTCCCCAAGGGCGAGCGAAGAGAGGCACCAGGAGGCGCCAGCGTGCTCGGACCAGCGAGCGCTCCAAGCTGGCCTGCCCGGCCACGGGGGGCGGCGGCGACTGTCGGGAGGCGTCTCCAATTATGCCCAAGAGGAAGGACGCCGCCAGCACACCCAGGAAGTACAGCTTTCTGACACCATCCACCACCTCCACTTTGTCGATGCTGTCGAACCTCCTTCCGAAGCGCTTGCGGACCATCAGTGACGCCAGGCGGCCGATCAGCAGACCTGCTCGCAGGCTGGAAATCCAATGCCCTGGAACGCACGTCCAGGTTACGGAACAAATGTGAGATTTAACATACCACCCCCGAGCTGCGACAACAGCACAAAATGCGCCCGTGCATAAAAAACTGGCGAGGCCCACGGTAAAGGATGCTTCTGGTATGGGCTGAATGTGTCCACATCATCTTTCCCCTCCCCCTAATGCACGTGCTGGCTGCTGGAATCAGCTGATCCTTCCTCCTGTGTATATGTTCCTCGGACATTTGTCATCAAGAGCCGTAGCGACTGCACGGCGACCATACAAAAGGAATCCGACTTCGGCGACGTGGCCCGGAACAATAACGAACAAGGGAAAGGGTGCAAGCAAGTTGGCCGGCAAGGGCACAGAGCAGACTAAGCTGGCAGCGCGAGGGGGAGGGTGGAGGAGGCGAAACCACCCCTCCTCCTCCTCATCCTCCTCCTCCACAGACTTCAAGCGTGGTGATGCCGTTCGCATTGGACTTCTGCCCCGTGACCAGCGCTTCATCCCGACCCGAGGCCCCGTCGGGGCCCCCGGAGGCCGAGGACTGCGGAGAAGCGTCCGCCGCGACTCCACAACGAGAGGAGGTGGGGGCCCTCCTCCTCGAGGACTGGGAGCGCCCGCCGCTCCCCGCACCTCTGCGGGGGTGCGTTCGGACCAGGGTTTCGAGGCCATCCGGCCGTGACGACGAGGGCTCTCCAGGACGAGCAGCGGCACCGGTACCTCTTCTTCCCCTGGGCCTCCTCCTCCGACCTCGTCCCCGTCCTCCTCCTGACACCTCCTCCTCCTCCTCCTGACACCTCCTCCTCCTCATCCTCCTCCTCCTCCTCCTCCTCCTCCTGCTCCTCCTTCTCCTCCTCCATGATGACGATCTGGGAGCGCCCCAGATTTTGTCCGCCTTGGCGGCCTACGTCGGTGAACAGGCCCGTCACGTGCGTGGTGCGCACGACGGCCCCACCCCAGAAGGTGGCCATGCCGTTCTGGAGCCCGCAGGCGGCCGCGGCGAAAAACTTGGCGTACCTCGGGGGGAGGACGAAGGTGTCTTCTCCTTCTCCCTCCTCGTCCTCGTCCTCGTCCTCGTCCTCAACCTCCTCCTCCTCCTCCTCCTCCCCCTCGTCCTCGTCCTCCTCCTCCTCCTCCTCCTCCTCTCTCACTCGTCATCCTCTTCCTCCTCCTCCACCTCCTCCTCCTCCTCCTCCTCATCATCATCATCATCATCATCATCAACATCATCATCATCATCATCAACATCATTAATATCATCATCATCATCATCAACATCATCATCAGCATCATCATCACCATCATCACCACCACCATCACCACCACCATCACCACCACCACCATCATCATCAGCATCATCATCATCATCATCATCATCATCATCATCAACGACAGCAGCTGCAGCATCATCATCAGCATCAGCATCAGCATCAGCATTATCATCATCACCATTATCATATTCAGCATCATCATAATCACCATCATCAGCATCAGCGTCACCATCAGCATCACTATCATCAGCATCAGCGACACCATCAGCATCAGCATCAGCATCATCATACTCAGCATCATCAGCATCAGCATCAGCATCAGCATCATCATCATCATCATCACCACCACCATCACCACCACAACCATCACCACCACCACCATCATCAGCATCAGCATCAGCATCAGCATCATCATCATCACCACCACCACCACCATCATCATCATCATCATCATCATCATCATGATCATGATCATGATCATGATCATGATCATGATCATGATCATGATCATGATCATCATCACCATCACCATCACCATCACCATCACCATCACCATCACCATCACCATCATCATCATCATCATCATCATCATCATCATCATCATCATCATCATCATCATCATCATCATCATCATCATCATCATCATCATCATCATCATCATAATCGTCATCATCCGCCCCCTTCCTCCGCGAGGAAGAGGGGGAGGAGGAGGAGGAAGTGGGCGGAGGAGGAGGGGGCGGAGGAGGAGAGGGAGAAGGAGGAGGAGGAGGAGGAGGAGGAGGAGGACGAGGAGGAAAGGGGGGGAGGGCGAAGCGAGGAGGGGATGCGAAGGGCCAGGGCGGCGGGGCGGCGGGGCGGCCGCGGGTGCCGGTTGTGGTGGCTTAAGGTGGCGGCGATCAGGAGCACGGAGCCGCTGGCCCCAGCGGCCGAGGCCGGGAGGGTCAGCGCGGCGCGGCTCCCCTCTGGGACGCACAGAGGCATACTGATACTAGATGTCCGCCTTGGAGGCGCGCGTTCGACCCGAACATATAGTATTACATATCTGTTCCATATAGTTTATAATATGTTACATACAGCATACTATGTGTTACACATCGCATATGGCATAGTTCATTTGGAACACTATTTACATATGTTACGTTTCGTAGACTGTTTACTATAAGTTGCATACAATATATATATATATATACATATATATGTGTATATATATAGTACATAGAGTTACATATAGTATACCATACTACAGTATACTATAGGCTTACATATAGTCCAAGATGGGTATACTATATATATTACATCTGTTATACCCACCTTGTAGTAGATCGTTTCTCGAGCGGTGTGGCCAGAAGGCGCCCGCCACGACGCATACACTGTGTAGATTTCTCGGTGCGCGCGTCGCCTCTGGGGGGGGCGACGGACACATAGTGTAAATATGTGGGGGGGGGACGCCGACCCTCTGCTCGGCGGCGAGCGGGCGGGGGGGGGAAGCGAGGAGGAGAAGGCCCCCTCGGAGTGTTCGGAAGCCTCCCGGCCTTCCGAGGAGTTTGTCGAGCCCTCCCCGAAGGCAGGACAGACGAAGACTTCTCGGAGGGCGCGAGGGCTTCTGGGCAGTCCCGCCGCCTTCCGAGAGGGCCTTCTCCTTCTGCGAAAGGCCCCCACCTCGCTCGCCGGCGATCTGCGGAGGGAGGGCCGCCCCCCGACATGTCGAGAGGCCTCCAAGAGCTGCGTGCATAGGCTCAGGTCGGGCATGTCCCCCTCTGCAGGGGATCTGGGGAAGAAGCATTAAACATCGTCCCCCAAAATGCCTCCCCAAAGGGTCCACAAACAGAATCCGAACATCGTCCCCGTACGATGTTTGGACTCCTTTTTGCTCGATGCGCGAACCCCGCTGTGCTAAGCCTGGGACGCACGGCTGGCGCCGTGGACATTCACCTAATTAAAGGGGAGGGGGAGAGGAGAGAGGAGAGGAAGCGGAGGAGGAGGAGAGGAGCAGCTCAACGAGCGGCGGGACAGGCCCGACCCAAACATCGACGTGCGTATGCACACGGGCATCCGCGGCCGTGCACGCCCGAGGCCGAGGCCCCAGAGGGGGTCGGCGCGGGGCGCCCCGGCCTCCCTGCGGAGGGAGGGCCGCCCCCCGGGGATTGCGGAGAGACCTCCCAGGAGTTGTGTGCGTAGACGTGTATGTGTGTCTCTGTCTGTCTGTCTGTCTGTCTGTCTGTCTGTCTGTCTGTCTGTCTGTATGTATGTATGTATGTATGTATGTATGTACGTACGTGTATGTGTATGTATGTGTATATACATGTATGCGTATACACATATATATATATATATGTAGATCGTCGTCGTTGCCTCCGCCGCCGTTGCCGTTTCCGTCGTCGTCGCCGCCGTCGTCGTCGTCTCGCTTCAGGGTCGGCGGCACCGGCCGTAAGGCCTTCGCCATGTATTATATGTATTTGTAAATATGCACAGGCATGCAAACATACAAACGTTTACACGTACATGTAATGGTGCCAGCCAGCCTGGACCCTCAATAGCAGTGATTTGTTGAAACCTGCTCGGCGGTGCAGTCTGGCTGATGCAGTGCACGTGGTGCAATCTAGATGGCGCAGTCTATGCGGTGCAAACCAATGAAGGCAATGCAAAGAAACGCAGAGCAATACAATGCAGAGCAGTGCAAAGCAAGGCAACGCAAAGCAATGCAAAGCGGTGCAAAAAGCAACGCAGAGCCATGCATAGCCGTGCACAGCACTGCAAAGCAATGCAGAGCCATGAAGAGCAATGCCGAGCAGTGCGATGCAATGCAATGCAGTTCAAAGCAGTGCCAATAGCGCAAGGCAGTGCGATTACAACACAGCGTCCAGACGATGGGCGGCGACGAGGCGGCGACGCGACGGCAACGTGGCGGCGCTGGCGGCCACATGGCCGCCGGACCGGCCGCCGCCGCCCGGGCACGGGGCGGCGGCGGCGGGCACATGCACGTCGTTCGTTTCTTGTCGTGCTCGTTTCTAGTTGTGCGCTCGTCTCCAAGTGTTCCTGGCCGCCTAGTGGCCAGGAAGAGGCCCAGGACAGAATCATTAGAAATGAAAGGATCTCGGCCCCCCCAAAAAATCAAAGACCTTTCGAAGAATCAGAAATGAACAGTGTGTTGCCGCCAGACCGGCAACGCCGCCGACCACAAGTAAGCACCCCTCAGTGCAAGCACGGTTTGGGGAACACACACGTGGAGCTGGTTGAATTAGTACACGCAAGCGGCACCTACGTACAAGTGGCACGTCCATGCCCAGGCCAACAGAAAGAGCTGCGGGATGCAAGCAAGGGTCCGGGCAGTGGGGAGAGCCGAGTTGCGGGACAGTCTAGACTGACGCCGTCGGGTGTTCAGAATGCGGCGCAGCAGCAGGGACGCAGTCAAGCGCAGGTGGGATGTCCACACCTCGCGACTGCAGTTGAGAAGAAACGGGCGGTCCACTATGGAATTGTCACAGCTTGCGATTCGACGAATGATGGGAATTACTCCATGAACCAAGGAATAAGCAAAGAGGATCGATCAAAGTATGATAACTCCACTTGCAAGCACTCCAGCGTGTGCCCGCCAGTGCCTGAGGACATGATGTTGCGGGTTCGTATGGTGAGACTCGTCTACTGAAGCCCGAGACGCCTTACTTGGTACCCAGGAGAACCTGTGCCAACGATGATGAACATGCCCATGACGAGTCACGTGATGAATCCCAATGAAGCGAAATTTCGGATGTATCCCAAGAAGCGGGAGGCGCAGTCTAGGGCAGATGGGGGCGCCACACCTTGCGATGAGTTTCGCGCAGGGCTTCCACGCCTTGTGATTACCGTTGAGAAGAAGCGGGGGCGTAACCGATGGGATTGACACATATCGCGATTAGACGAAATGTTGACAAGTACCCCAGTGGGCATGGAAACCGAAGGATATACCAAAGGCCGAGAAATACACTTCACAGCAATGGAGAACCAATGGTTTTGCAGGAGGTATACGCGGAACAATTGAGCACCAATGTTATGCTCCTGCAGTATTTATACGGGCAAACTAGAAACACATCTGTTTGGACCCTTATGTCGCGATCTGCGTGAGGGGATGCTTCAAATGTCCCGAGCGAAACGGCCATCCAATCGCGAACCCCGACAGCCAATCGCCTGGGAGCTCGACTCCCTGGGAGGGGTGCGTATGATAATACAGATTACAAGTATATGTATACATGTACGTATTTGTGTATGTGTGTCCGTGCCCCAACACTACAGCCTCGGAGAAGGTTTTCTCCTTACGCCACCACACACGCCCATGCTGATCAACACCGTATTCGGGATGTCCACCCCCGTGCCGCCCACCATTTTGTAGCGCAGTCTTGCCACATGTGGACCGCCGTGGGTGCTCATCACACCGTGCCACCACTCGGGTTTGCATACGCCCCTCTCGAGGCTTCTGTTGTGTATTGAGACCGCGTAGCGACCATACATCGTACAAACATTCGCTGCTGTGTCGCTCCGCGAGCCTAGCGCAGGCTTCTCGGAACTGGCCAAACCACGCCACTTGCGAGGCCGTCTCGAGCGAAAACGGGGCCCAAACCAAGCCATCGCAGGGCGAAACCAGGCAAATCCTACGACGTCTCAAGCGAAACCGGGCCCAGACCAGGCGGGCCCAAGCCAGGCCAGGCCAGGGGCCAAACCAGCCAAACGTTGAGGATGTCTCGGGCGGGGCGCGCGGCCAAGCCAGGCCAAGCTGGGCCAAAAAAGGCTGGACCACCTTGATAGCGAACTCCAGGCTGCCTCTCCCCATCCTCGTGCCTCACCTCCTCGCCATCACGCTGCCACCGAGAGACCTCCCAAGCCGTGCGCAGAAACAGCACACAAGTCGGTACAGATGCACACAGGTAACAGGTACCGCTCCTGTGCCATCGGGCTGCTTCATTCCCCCTGCTTGCACCTCCTCTTTATCATCATCATCATCATCATCATCATCATCATCATCATCATCATCATCATCATCATCATCATCATCATCATCATCATCATCATCATCATCATCATCATCAATCAGCATCATCATCATCATCATCGATCATCGTTATCATCATCGTCATCTTGAAAAGTCACCATTATCAGCATAATCATCTTCGTCAGCATCATCATCGTCGTCATCTTCATCGTAATCGTCATCATCTCAGTATCCGTCACCACGACCGCCAGAACCATCAACCGCAGACCTTCCATCTCCCAGGGGCGGCGCACACGCGAAGCGTGAGGCCTGACCCAACGGGAAGGGCGTGGGGCCCGGGACGCGCCCGCCAGAGACCCCGTCCCTCCCAGCCGGCGGGACGGCGAGGGCCCCCCGGAGATGCTCAGCAGGCCGAAGTCGTACAGCGCCAGCCCGATGTGCACGGTGTCCTTGGCGATGAACAGGCCGCAGGCCACGCTGCCGGCCACGAACGAGAGTAGCACGTACAGGGCCTCCATGCTCCCGAACCCCACCTTCGACAGATTCCCCGTCTGGTGGCTCACGAACCACTCCAGCTCGAAGTACGCCACGGAGTTGATCAGCCCCGCCGAGCACGCCAGCACGGCGCCCACGGCGCGCACCAGCAGGGGGAGGTTGAAGGTGGGCACGGCGTCGACCTCCTCTGGAGGGGTTGCAGATGTGCACGCACGGGGTTGCAGATGTGATGAGAGGGCGGCTGCTCAAACCAGACCCCGCAACAAAGATCAGGCCACCCCCCCTTTCCTTGTGGACTCTGGGATTCACCGACCCTGGCCCGGACCAGCCCGGGCCCGGGATCGGAGCCTACGCCCTTCTGGATCGACCAGGGAGGCATCTGCACCAATCCTGGGCCAGGGATGGGCCTCGCCAGGATCGGTGCGTGCGCATATTTCTGGTCGCCCGATCCTCCACGACGGAGGCGGCGTCGTTGAGCATGGCGTCGCTGATCTGCGCGTACTCCTTCTGGCCCAGGGAGATCTGGCTCGGCGAGCTCCGCACGGGAGGGTAGTCGTACGGCGCGGCGTGGAACGCCAGCCGCACGCCTCGGGGGGGGGGCCCGCACAGGCAGGGCGGGCAGCGCAGAACGGCCACCATCCACGCCACGAGGCGGGCCTTTGCGCGACCTCGCCCCTGTGAGGACAGCATGCACGCGACGTCATATCCGCTACCGTGCCCCCTGGCAGCCGTCGTCGTCTTCGTCGTCGTTACAGTCGTGGTTGCAGTCGTCGTCATTGCCGTCGCCGCCGCCGCCGCCACCATCGCCGCCGTCGTCGTCGTCGCCGACGTCGTCGTCGTCGCCGTCGCCGCCGTCGTCGTCGTCGCCGTCGCCGCCGCCGCCGCCTCCTTCGCCGCCGCCGCCGCCGCCGCCGCCGCCGCCGCCGCCGCCGCCGCCGTCGTCGTCGTCGTCGTCGTCGTCGTCGTCGTCGTCGTCGTCGTCGTCGTCGTCGTCGTCGTCGTCGTCGTCGCCGCGGGGTGCAGGGCTGCGCCGAGGCGGCGGGGCCGGACGGCCCATGGCAGGCGCTGCGCCAGGGGCGGCGTACACCGCCGCGGGCGAGGCGGGCGACGGCGGGGCCTGCCAGCGTCGAGCAGCGCACGGGCGCTCCGCGCGCCTGGTGGACGGGGGGCGGCGGCGACCAGGAGGCCTGCGTCGACGGCAAGGGCGCGGAGGACGAGAGGGGTGCAAGAAGATGCACGGCGGCAAGGGCAGGGGCGAGGAGCGCGGGAAGGGCGCAGAGGAGGCGCTCGAGAAGATGTGCAGCGGCACGGAGGCCCAGGGCAGGGAGCGCGGCAGCGGCAGCGAGGCGGTGCTGGCCGAGGGTTGCGCCTACGACGGAGTGAAGGGCGGCTCGGAGGAGAGGAGAGCTCGGGACGCTGACGGGCTGGACGCGAAGGGCGCAGAGGAGGTGTTCAAGAAGGCGGACAGCGGCAAGGAGGGCAAAGGGTAAGGCAGCGACAGCGCGGTGATGCTGGCCGAGTGCTGCGCGCACGACGGCGTGCGAAGCGGCTCGGAGGAGAGGGCAGCTCGGGACGCTGACAGGCTGGACGAGAAGGACGCAGAGGAGGTGTTCGAGGAGATGAACAGCGGCAAGGAGGCTGAGGGCAAGGAGTACGGCACCGGCAGCGTCGCGATGCCGGCCGAGTGCCACGAGCACGACGGCGCGGAGAGCGGCTCGGAGGAGAGGCTGGGCAGGGCAGCCGAGTAGGGCGGCCAGGGCTCAGGCGGCGAGGAGTGCAGCACGGAGGACGGCAGCGAGGCGGGGCAGATGGGGCGACGAGCTCCGTGCCGTCTGGGCCGAGTGGCTCTCCGGGGAGCGTGCGGCCGCGATGGCGATGCGGGCCTCGGAGGAACCTGGGCGGCGAGGGTGCAGTCGCCGCCAGGCGACGCCGAGGCCGCGGGAGCGCGGCGGAGGCGGCGGACGCGGAGGCAACGACGGCGGCGGCTGGCGCGGCGGGCGCCGAGGGAGGCGCCGCCGTGGAGGCCGTGGAGGCGGCAGCCAGGGCACGGCGGCGGAGGACGAGGGCGAGGGCAGGGGCTGAGCCCCTGAGGGGGGGGCTCGATGGCGGCAGGCTCGGGGTTAGCCTCCAAAGCTAGAAGAAGAAGCAACGCCATAGACATAAACTTTTGGCGCTCCGCGCGGATTCCTTGCATCTGCGCTGACCCCCCTCCTTGGCGCGCGGAGCGCGCCAAGGGCGGCGCCGGAAGCGCCGCCGGGGGGGGGCTGGCGCGGGTCCAAGACATCCGTGCGGAGCGCCAAAAGCTTACGCTCATGGCGTTTTTCCTTCTTCGAAACCCCCCCACGTGATGCCGTGCCCCCGCCCCGCGCTCAGTCGCGGCGTGCGGGGGGGGTAAGAAACTTGAGCGGTGCCCCCGCCCCGCGCTCAATCGCGACGTGCCCACGCCCTGTCCAGCCCCGCGCTCAATCGCGGTGATGCGTTGCCGCCGCCCCGCGCTCAATCGCGGCGTGCGGGGGGAGTCGGACATCTGGGCAGGAGGGTTGCACGTCGGACGTCGCGGTCGAACCGCGCGGGCGCGCCGCTCGGCGAGCGGCAGACGGAGCCGCTCGCCAGCTTCGGCAACGTCGGAAACGTCGTCGTCGTCGTCGTCGTCGTCGTCGTCGTCGTCGTCGTCGTCGTCGTCGTCGTCGTCGTCGCCCGCGCAGGGCGCATCGCACGAGCCCTTCGTGCCGCGGGGCGCGGAGGGCCATTGCGAGAGGGAAGGGGGAGGAGGAGGAGGACAGGAGAAGGAGGAGGAGGAGGAGGAGGAGGAAGAGGAAGAGGAAGAGGAAGAGGAGGAGGAGGA